CAGCCTTGTGCTTTCTGGAGGCCACGGGCGTGAGGCTATTACGTTGGCCAGAGGCAAGCTAGAGATGTGAGCACAGTGGGCAATGTTGGCAAGAAACTGGTCAGACTGTGCCCGGCCAGTGGGGAAGAGAGGTTTGGGGGAGCGCGGGGGTGACCTGAGCTCCAGGTCCCTGGTGTCATCCCATTGGCAAGCTCTAATGTCAAGGGAAAGGTCTGGCGTGTGGCCCCGGTTTGGGGTCGGCCGCATGTAGGGTAAGCCCCCCCTCACAGGTGGAGTAAGAAGGGGCCAAGGACTGAATGCGAGGCCCCTGCCCAGCCGGACCCCAGCCCAGCAGCCACGGCTCCCACACACACAGCCCTACCCTGGGGCCCAGCAGACCGGGAACACTTCTGCTTTCCCGCCTCTCTCAGGCACAGTTTTGTCACTTGCCTTTCATTCTTTTCCCCCACTTCTTTCCTTCGCCTCTCTATGATCTGCTCTACTGCTGTGTCTCGTGCCCAAAGCCCCCTTCGCCCCCAGCCGATTTGGCGGTTTCTCGTCTGCGGCGTCCTCTTTGGCAGCCTCCCCTCCAGAGAGGTGCTGGGCAGCAAAAGGTGGTCAGAGCCCTCAGGTAAATCCTCTACAGGAGCCAGCCCTGCACGCTGCGAGAGGGCAGGCAGGGGCACCTGCTGGGCCTCCCTGGGACGGGGATTTGTTCTCCCTTTTCTCATACGTGGCAGGGAGTTAAGGGGTCCAGTGCAGAGGGAGCGGCTCCGCTGCCCTGCTTGGTCCCCTGCATGTTTGGGGCCTTGGAACAAATGCCGGCTGAGTAGCCTGGGTTTCCAGGTTGGGGTCCAGGCACCAAGTGCCCTTTGCGAGCTTGCCCAGGGGACTGGTGGGGATGGAGGCTGCAGGCCAGCCCAGGACACAGCCACAAGTGGGGACTCCTGTATTCTTCAGAATAGCCAGGGCCTGAGGAACACTAGAGGGGTCACCTCTGGCCTCCCCCAAAAAAGGATGGGGAAGTGGTTAGAGGCAAGAATAGCAGAGAAGTCTGTGGAGTACTGGGGAGACCAGAACCGGTTTCTCCAATCCACAGAAGCGTGTGGATGACCAAGAGCTGATGGGACCTCCATTTCCCATCCCACAGAATGGTCTCCATGCACTGAGGCGGCCGCACTGCAGCCTCTCCTCCAGGACATCCTCCACACTCTTCCAGCTCTGACTCAGGCAGCGGCTACACTTGGTGACCCATCTGAGGCCTCAGCAGCCCCAGTTCACTGTGGCAGGACCAAGGTGTTCATGACGGACTTCACGGTAAGCTGGTTTATGAGGAGGAGGGGGGTTCCCCGAAGCCAGCCGTGTGCTCTCCTCAGCAGGACAGGGTCTGGGACCACTTCAGGGCAATGGGAGGATAGGCTGAGGCCCTCAGCGGATGCCCCTTCTCCCAGCTGGAGCTTCTGGAACACGGACGTGCCCAAGTGCTGGAGCAGTGTGCTCGCCGCATCCAGGGCAGCTGGAGGCGACACTGGTCCCGCAAGCAGGGGAGGCGGAGGCGGGCAGCCGTGCTCATCCAGGCAGGTACGAGGTGCATGGGCTTGGGGCCCACGGGCCCACGTGCAGACCCCTAATGATCCGGGTTTCCTGGAGACCCCCCTGTGCCAAGGCTGTGTCCCAGCCTCAAGACACTGACGGCACGACCCTATGGTACACTGGGATTCGAATTCTCATCAGAGTGTCTCCCTAGTTTAGTGGAAACCAGGTGACACCACAAATAAGGGTGCTCTGTAGGCAGCAGAGGCTGAAAATTTGCCTTTAATTCCCCTTTCCCAGACCTAGAGAGCAGCTTATGCCGCCACCTTCCTTTGCCTCTATGACAAATTACATGTTGGGTCCAGGGCTTGTAATGAGTTTGAGAAGGTAAAAACTGACAAGATTTGATTCATCAAAGGAAGAGATACAGGAACCATGTTCCCAGCAGTCTTATTTTGAAAATACTAGAAACCACCCATGTAGCTGGCAGTGATAAAGTCATGGCTGTTACGGACCATCCTTATGATGCAGCTAGGAAGTGTTTTAGAAGAATATTTTAAATTTAATGGAAAACTACTTCCAATGTGATGTTCAAACCAGGATGCCAAACTGCACGTCAAGGGTGATGCCACCTTCCTCAAGTGTGTTTCTGTGTGTATGGGCCTAAAAAAACGTAAGGAAACTAAAGAACTGTCTGCATTGGTGAGATAGGATTTGGATCTGTCTTTAAGCTTTTTAGTTTTCTAGAATCCAGACATGTTAATATTGAATGGAATAGCTCCTTTTCTGAATGTAAAAGAACCAGAAAATGCTGAAATTGCAGGAGAAGGAAATGAAAATTGCCAGTCTACCATCCAGTAGTGTCACCTTTACCAACACGGGGGTGCCCAGTGGGGTCCAGTTTATGAATTCGTAAGGCCTGTCGGCAACTTCAGCCTGCTCCCTGCGGCCCTTCCACACGACGTCTGTCCCAGCCTGACGGTCTGAGGGGCGTCTTTCAGAGCCAAGTTCACTTCAGTACCAACTTCCATTCCCTCCCTTACCGGGTGGCATAGGCTAGCCGCCCCTGAAGATGCGCCAATTCCAAACTTCTTCAGCAGCTCGGGTGTGGCTGCAGGGCCAGGCTACGCATAGTTCTAAGGAACATTTCACTTCTTGTTTCTGGGCAAACCCCTCAGCCATCCGGTCCTGGTTAGCTCGGAAACACGTGCGGAGGCTTCATGCAGCTGCCACAGTCATCAAGCGCGCGTGGCGGAGGTGGCGAGTGAGTATCTGACCCCCTGGGCAAGATGGACAGTGGACGGCGGTACCCGACGGCCCTGGGGTGGGGCTCCTGGGACGCAGAAAGGGCGGCATTAACACCTCTGGGCATACATTAAAAACCATGGAATTATACACTTTAAAGGGGTGAATTTTATGGTGTATCAATTAGATCTCAAGGCTGTTCTTAAAGTAGCATATGTAAGGCCTATAAGCACAGGTGCCCTGGGCATAAAGAAGTTCGGCCACATGGCACCCATCTAGTTGAAGGCATCCAGCTGTTCAACAGCCCAGTGCCCTTCAGGTCACCTTGTTAAGCTACCTTGTTAAAGATCATTTTGGTTTCCATTAAGAATACATTGAAAGCTATAAAGTGGCACTCTTTTTTTTTTTTAGATTGGAATGGCCTTCCTTGCTTCGAAAGAACTGGATGGTGTGGAAGAAAACCACTTGTCTCAAGTTCCCCTTCCCACGGGCTCCCTCCTGCTGCCACAAACACAGACCAGCCTCCTGGCGGCAGTAATCCGCCTCTGGCCCCTGGGCCTGGTCCTGGCCAACGCAGCTGTGGGTGTCCGCGGCTTTCAGAGGAAGCTGGTGGTCTGGGCCTGCCTCCAGCTCCCCATGGGCAGCCCCAGTAGCTACACGGTCCAGATGGCCCAAGGACAAGCTGGTGTCACATCCATCCGAGCACTGCCTCAGGTAAGCACGCCTCTGGGTCCCTCACACCTCCTTGTAGAAGGCAGGAGCCAAAGCCCATGAGTCTGTGGTGGGAGCAGGGCTGAGGCTAGGACACGAGCTGTCCTGACCCTGCTCAGGACTCCAGAAGCCCGAGTCTCCCAACTGGCTGCCGGTTTGGGTGGTTTCCATCATTACAACTAGGAATTTTCCAGAGCCCTCTCACTTTTTAAAAACTGCCTCTGAGTGTTCTGGCTCCTCTGAACCTCCATTTAATTAGTTCCACTTTTTAAAATTTGGGTTGTGATGACAGTTTATTCTGAAGTTAGCATCTTATTTTCCTCACATTATTACTTGGTTTATCTCCTGCTCCAGCTGTGCAAATGACAAGCAGGTAGTCAGTGGCCCAAGAGCTCTGTTTTTATATTACGGGCCGCCGGAGAGAGAGTCAGCCAACACATATAGTGGGCTAATGCTCAACCTACCACATGGGGTCCCAGCAAGGATTAAGTGACACAAGTCAAAAGGAAAGTTTCCATACCAGAGGAATTACGATAGGACGTAATCTGGAGAAGACCTCCCATGACAACACACAAGCCAGCCAGAGTATAAACAGAAGTGGGATTGTTTGCTCTTCCAGTTTTAAGCAGTCTTAAGACTGTGGCAGATAATACTCTTATTAGGGGAGAGCTCCCTCATCCATCACAGTGAATGGATGTGAAATGTTGTATTTTAATTTGCCACTGGTTTAGAATGAGCAAAAAGCAGGAACCCAGTCCTCCTGCTGTTGGTCTCCTACCAGTGCTCGTCCACATCTCTGTGCGTTTCTAGCATTGGCTCAGGGCGGGGGGCACCCGGAGGGCTGGCACAGCTGGGAGCTGGGGTTCAGTGGTCTCTTTCTCTCCCCCCTCCCCCCCCAGGGCTCGATCAAGTTCCACTGCAAAAAGTCTCCTCTGCCATATGCAGACATCTGCCCTGAACCCTCACCCTACAGTGTTACTGGCTTTAATCAGATTCTGCTGGAAAGACACAGCCTGGGCCACAAGTGAGGTCTTCTCACTTTCTAGCCTCACCTGGCTGGGCAACCCTTTGGTGCCTTTGTGTTTACAAGGCCTTTTCCTGCCGGCTGCTTTGCCAAAGACGTTTAATCCACACAATGCCGCCACACTACTCCCACAACGACTCCAAGCTCCTGTGAGTGAGCAACGGCTGCTGCGGCCCCTACACTCGCTGCCCGGGGCTTCCGTGCACATCTCAGGCCCTGACAGACGTCAAGGGTTGGTTAGCAAACCAGGGCTAAGAAACCTCAGGGCCAGAAAGGATTTCCCCAATTTTACTACCTTCAGAGATCCGACTGAGCTGTGTAGTCCATCACTACAGTGGGGCACCCCCAAGTCCCTGCAAACAGAACAGGCCGAGTTAGCTTGAAAGTAGCCCCCAAATTTCGACTGGGATATTTGCATTTCGTTCCTTTGAAAGGAACAAAACCTTACTATTTAATAGGTTGATTAATGTAATTTCAAGCAATTATGAACTAAGGATGAACAATGCCATTTACCAGAGAATCACCATATCCTGATTTTATTTAGCAACAGTGAGCAAGTTTTAACTCAAATGGGTATGAAACTTGACAAATCATGTGTGATGTCTAAACGCTACCAAAATTAAAACATTTAAACACCATCGGAATGTCAAGTTCTCCCTCCATAAAGGGTTTGTCACCTCGAGTCTCCTCCTCTTGCCTGAAACCCACACCTACAGTGCTGGAGATAAAGCCATTGTGCAGCCCACCCTACGCCAGCCAGTCTGCAAGTCAGCACCCTCGCTGAGGGCCCCTCGCTAGCTGTTCTCCTGGGGGTGCGGGCAGGTTCGAAGTCATGCACACGTTCCGGTGAGCAGCACAATCATCCGTCTTAGGAATCCTCATCCTGGGATGGCTCCACAATCCTTAAACAGCAGTCCGCAAACTCCACAAACAAGGGCTCCTGCATGCAGGCTCTCATGAGCTTCGCCTTGTTGTCGCCCTGATCGAGGCTGACCATCAGCTGTCGAAGGTGGGGGTTGAGCAGCAGGCTTCTTAATGCTGCAGACTCTCCTTAAAAATGAACAAGAAAGCCAGTGTGAGTTCAAGTGGGAACAGATGGAGACAGCTAAAAGCTAAATGCGTCCGATGTAGTGTACAGATCAAGGGTGGTGCATTCCTTTCACCTTTAAACCCGAGAATGGAACCAGTGCTCCACATAAACAAGGTGAGGTCAGCATAGCAGATGATTTCCCAGTTAAATGCCATCACAGATTCTTGTTCTTGGCATCTCTATAAATTTACACCATTTCAAGTAGGAAAAAATTCCAGCACAAACACAGAGAACAACATGAAGTTGATGGCACGTTGTTATTCACAGGCCCAAAGGTTCTCCCTGGTGAGGAGAGTTACACCAAAGACTCTGAACGCTGCAGAAGCCAGCACGTGGCCCTCACACTGCAGGCTCAGTAGCAATGAACAGACGCCAACATCTGCGTGGTGCCTTACAGTTTACAAAACCGTTCACACCTGCCCTCAGTCTCCTCCCTGCTGTGGGACTGGGTGAGCAGCAGGGTGGGCCTGACGGTGAGGCGGAAGTGAAACCTCCCACGTGTAGGAACTACCCAGGCCCGTTCATCACTCGGGTCACAGAATGGCCCCAAGGCCTGACCGCGCGGGCCTACAGAAACACCGGGCGTTACGAACATTCTCATCCCTCTAAAACTCCCAACTCCTGGGGTTACCGTCTGCTTGAATGGCTAGACCACATATGGCGCACTGGGGAGGTGGGGTAAATGCAGATCCCTGCCCTACAGACCAGTGTGGGAGAGAGAAGGTACCATAAAATACGAGTGGTATATTGCAAGGCCCCATGGGAAGGTGAAAAGTGCTTGCTTCTGAGAAAGACAAAAGACTAAGAAAAACTGAGCTGAGGAAGGGTAATCTGAACCAAGCTTGAGGGAGGGGAATTTTGCCAACTCACAAAACCAGTAGGATTCCAGGCCGAGGGAGTCGTAGGAAGGCGGGGAAGTGTGGAAGCCCTGAGTGTTTACAGGGTCATGTGGCTGAAGGGCTCTGCGTGCCACACTCAAGTACGGGGACCCTTGAACAACACAAGTTTGAATTGTACAGGTCCGCTTATACATGGAGTTTTTCCTATAAATACAGTGATGTAAATATATTTTCTCCTTGTGATTTTCTCAACATTTTCTTTTACTTTATCGTAAGAATACAGCATATGATACATGCAACATACAGACTGCGTGGTAACCGACTATGTTACCGGTAAGGTTTCCGGCTGACAGTAGGCTATTAGTAGTTAAGTTCTGCAGGGGTCTGAAGTTATACACGAATTTTCAGCTGCAGGGTGGACGGAAGGGAGCCCTACTCCTGTGCAGTTCAAAGGTCACCTGTATTTAGTAACTTAAAAAAAAATCACATTCTATACATTGGATTAAATGTATCAGTGGTCAATAAAGAAGCAAGCACAGCACACTTACCTAAATTCTTTAAATTCTGCAAAGAAACTCTGTCCTCTTCCTCATCACTGTTGAGAAAGTCAGCTACAGAGTCCTCACCATCTGAGGAACACAGAACACAACTAGTTACGACCAGAAATAGAACCCAGCTGCCAGACGAACTACTCCAACAGATAAATGTGCACACCAGTGACAGGAGCAGCGGTAAGCAGGTATTGACAAAACAAAAGTGACCTTTTCTGGAATTTGTGACTTTACCAACATTCCTCTTTTTGGGGAAGGAGGGTGAAGCTAACAATTGGGGAGTTTAACAGATGCATCCGAGCGTGTTCACATGCTTGTTCTATGTGTTTCTCTGTGGTCTTTGGGCCAGGAGCCTCATTTTCCAGTTCTTATCACCCCAGCTCTCCTCACTATGGCTCCAGCCCTGTCAGGGGCCAAAAAACTAGGTGCTCTATAAAAACCTGCTACCGTGAATACCTTGTGCTTTCAGCATGGCCAAAAATTTCTGACACTGCCTAAAGCCAACAAGGAAGTTTCTCAAAGGGCAGAAATAGGCTATCCCATGCTGTGAATGTTCAGTACCTCTTTGCTGGCACCAGGAGGGGCTGCCTTCGGAGGCTGGCATGGTGCCTGACACCCAGGAGATACCGAAGTCTGTAGAGATGGATGGGTTGACAGCCCACTCCCACAATAAGCCATGAGGAGCCCCCAGCAGCAGGGAGGTGAGCTAGGTCAAGGCAGCCTCCTACCTGAGCCTCGCTCAGGTGAACGGACCGCTCCATCCAGGCCCAGGGATGGAGACCTGAAGCTATGACTGGAGAAGGTTCCTGCCAGCAGGGTCCACCCCTCACCCCCACACCACAGCCAGCTGCCTCTCACCCCCTCATTTCTTGTCCTTAACAATGCCCTCAGGCTGCTCTAAAATACACAACAGGTGCCCCCCCCCATCCTGGTGCTGAGCTAAGATGAAGCCTTTGTTCCTGATTACCTGTCCCAACCCACGTCTCCTCCTTAAGCTTCTGTATGAAACCCCTTCCGAGGTTTTTTTGAAGTCAAGCAACCCACCTTTGTTTGCTACAGGCTTTATAGTTTTTGCTGTAACAGCTGACCTTACTTTTTTCTCAGGACGAGTTTCAGGGTTGCACTGCTCTGAAAGAGACATAAATCAGATGCACATCACTTCCACTTAAAGGCTGCACCTCCCCACCGAGCCAGCATCTAGGTGGGAAACATGTACGGGGTAAGGCATGTGGGTGGGGATGGAGATAAATGCAAAGGAACCGAGGGATCCAATCAAAGGGCAGCACCCGGAAAAAAAAGAAATCCTGAGCCTGGCAGAGGGTGGAGGAAGCAGGCCTCATGCACCCTGAGGACTGTCCCCATCCTCCTCACACCGCCTAACCTCACAGGGCTCTCCCCAAGATTAAGTAGCACACTGACTTCAATTAGCTATTTTCTCAGCAGTTTCAGATACCAAATTTGCATGTACCACATGCCACTGGGATGACACAGATGAAAGTCATCAGGCCCACCTCAAGGGGTTGAGCCTTATGGCTGGCAGCTAGAGCCCGGGATTAAGAGTCTGATTGATGTCACCTGAGAGGACTGGGAGACAAAGGGGAGGTGCTGCCAGCGCGAAAGAGCATTCCCAGCAGAGGGAAAGGTCTACAGCTGGACCAGACCCCTGAAAAATAGGGTCACATGCAAGGACACAGTGATGCCTGACTAGCAGCTGATTGACGGGGCAGGCCTGGCAGGTGGAGGAAGTGGAGGAAGCAGGAGAAGAATGCCACATGGGAGGTTGGCCTTCCCAAGACCAGTGTCTCTCATCAAAGGCACTGTGATGTTCAGGGTGGAAAGGTCTTTTAACGGTGTGAGATGGTCTCACCACAGGATGTTTATCTGCACAATACCGATTGCCAGAAGCGGCCCCAAGCCTCCTCAGCTACTGAGACACATTGTCACAATGTGTCTCCCTAGGAAGAGCAATACCCAGGCTAAGAACCACTGCCTCCCTTTGCTAGAGAGGCTGGAGTTTTCAACAAGGGAGTGAATTACTCAAATGTGCATTTTAGGAGAAACCCTGGCAGCAGCAGGGCCACACTGTTTAGAGCTCCAGATTGCCCCGCATTGCCCTAGGGGTTCTTGGGCCACCCAGGGCTGCAGAGCCAGAGCAAAGTTACCCAACCTGGCTCCCCCGACCCTATTTCCAGCAAAACAGTTCTACTTCTTTGAACTGACAAATTTCCTTTGAAAATGCTCGAGATACTAGGGTAAAAAAAAAAACAAAAAACAGCAGGGGGAGCGATGCAGCTTGAAACAGACCTCTAAGCCAGAGACTGGCTTGGGGGGGGGGGAGATCACACTAGACGCAAAAAACCAATAGAACTTTAACCAGAGTCAACTCAGCATGAAGTCGTGGGAAACGGTCTCTGAGGACTAAGACGTTCCCGATTGGAGTTAAAATGTAGATTTAACAGCACTAATCGCTCCTTAAGGCAAACAGATCTACCTCGTTGTTTCTAGCCAGGCATTTAAAGAAAATGGTCTTGCTTCTGAGTCAGAACACTAAGATGAAGAAACTGCTAGGGCTGACTTCGACGGCCAAAGCAGTCGCCGATTTTTAAGGGGGGGGGGGTGGGGAGGACAGTCTGTAGGAGGAAAGGCAGAGCACAAGTTTCTGACTTCAAAATCCGGGGAGGCATTCACAGGCAGAGGCTCCCCCTGGGGCTCCGACAGGATCGGGCGAGGCAAGGCCGGGAGGGAGGGCGGCGGGACGTGGGGCTGCCCGCACGAGGAGAGCGGCGGCTCGGGGGGTGGGGGAGGAGAGGGGACGCCGGTGCCTTACCTTTGTGCTTCCGGAAGCAGGTCACCGAGCAGCTGTAACAACAGAAGCCACGAGCCGCGTCAGCCCGAAAGGTCGCGCGGACCCTCCCGGGGTCCCCGCCCGGCCCCCCGCCGCCCCCGCCCGGTCCCCTTCCCCACAACCCCCGCGCTCACTAAGGCACGCGGCAGGCGGGGCAGCGGTATTTGGGTTTCTCCAAACAAATCACGCAGACGACGGCGCTGCAATTGAGCGACGCCATGGTCCCTCGCCGGCCTCGTTCCCACCGAACGCGCCAGTCTCTGACCGAGGCACTCACATGCACGCCTTTTTTTTCCTCGTTTCCTTAACCGGGACCAATCGGCGCGCAGCACTCACTGGCAGTCAAAAGCAATGGATCGATCCTGCTTATTGCTCCAGTCCTGATAAGTAGAAAGTCGATACACTCGATCCACATCCAGTAGCTGCTTTGGCTTCCCGGATTAGATCTAGCTGTTGTCCCTAGCGGGAGTGGCAGGCAGAGGGAGTGGGAGAGGGAGAAGCAGGCTTCCCGCCGAGCAGGGAGCCCCATGCGGAGTTCCATCCCAGGACCCTGGGATCATGACCTGAGCCTAAGGCAGCCACTTAACCCACTGAGCCACCCAGGCGCCCCTGACTTGGACTTTCTGAATCTTGCAAGGGCACTGCCTTCTCCCCCTTGACATTCCATTTGCTTATATTTAGCAAATGAGAAGTCCAGACCCTGGCCAAACCAGAATCGGTTAGATTGAGTGACACACACATGCTCTTCCCTGCTTAAGTTCTTTTTCTCTCAGGAATGAAAGCTGAGGCTTGACCACTGACAAATGTTTATTGAGCTCTGAGAACAGCCCTGCACAGCCCACATGCTGGGCCGGGGCCCCCAAGGCAGTAGCAGGCACAGTCTCTGCCCTCTAGGAGCTCAAAGCTTAGAGTGAAGGCAGGAGGGAGAGGGGAGGGAGAAGAGACTCTGTCTTAGGGTCCTGCCGGTGCCAGCCTGCACTTGCACGGCCCTGACAGTGAATGCCTCTTCAAATCTGGCACCCTAGGCTCCTTACTTGACTCACCCTAGTCCCAGCCCTGGCTGGGATGGCTTGGTCAGGCAACAGATGAGGGAGCTCTGGCCCAAAGGAGGGGGTCCTGGCCTAATGAGTCTGGATAGATGAACTCTGAACTGTGATGGGCCTTGAGTGGCACCTCAGACTTCAGGAACAGTCATGTTTCATTAGTAGCCTGTGCCTCCTTAAAGCCCTAAGCACTGCCCAGCCTAACCAGGGCTCCCACCCCACATACACAGTGCCCACCTAGGGCCATAAGTCATTCTCACTCCCAAATCCCTCCTCCCTTGCGTTGAGCCCATCAGCCCTCAGGATCCCACTACTATAAGGGCTCCACATGATCGTCATTGTTTTTGTGGATACATCTGCTAGGACCAAGGCAATTGTTCTAGTCTTGGTTCAAACCCCTCCCTGGCTATGTGACTTCTACCCTCCCTGAGGTCCCCCACCTATTAGTGTGGATGTGCAGGCCTGCTCTCCTGAGCTGTTGAGAAGCACAGAAAAGACCATGTGTAAAAGTGTATGTAATCCGAGCGGAGCCAGAGTCTTCAATGATTGAGGGCCGGGGCTTGCTGTGGCATGAAGGGGCCTTGGGTCGCCAAGGTCGAGGATGTCTCTCTGCACAACTTCAGCACAAGGCTGTAGGAGCAGCTCACCCATTTCCATGTCATGCAGCTGATGGACTCGCTCTTCCTGTGGGTGGGGGCCATGCCACACCTGCACAGCCTTGAGGTGGCCATGTGCAAAGCTACGATTCCATCCCTGTGTCTACCTCCCTCCTTAGAGACAATTCTGACATGGTGACCTCCTCTGGCCTTGCCCAGCACTTAGCCAGGAAGACCAACGAGCAGGTGTTTACAAACAGCTATAACCTTCAAAACACAGTAACTTCGCATTACTGGTAGAAAACAAGATCAAGGAAGAAATGGAGGCTTTCTGGAAAAGTTCTAGCAGAGTGGCAGAAGTGAGGATTCGTAACTCATGTAGACTATATATGTAAAGAAATGGATTGAATTTTTTAAAAGTTTGTAATTCGAAGCACTACAAAGGGTTATTTGATACCCAGAGTCTGTAACTCCTGGAGCTCAGATCCCAACCCTATGAGTGCAGGTGTCAGGTCCCAAGTCCCTCAAGGCCAGGGTCCCGAAGCTCAGGATCCTCAAAAAGGGTTCTGCCGGCAGCCTCTATGGGCCACCCTCAGTGGGCGTAAGCCATCAGGCGTCCCTGCTTTGGCTTTGCGAAACTGCCCTGAGGATGCTGTCCAGTCCTTAGTGCTGAAGTGACATAGTTCCCAACCTGCCCCGCATGCAGCTACCCCTGGGTATCCCAGGACCCGCCTGAAATCTAAGACATGTCAACACCGACCCAGTAATCAGCAGCATTCCCTGTATTCAATAGTCGTGACCACCCCGGAACCATCCCAGAAGGTCCACGCTTACCTGGGAAGGCCAGAGAATGTCAGTGATTTGTCCAGGCCACACTTGAATCCTGTGCCCTCTCTGGCACCTGGTAGAAATTTGCTGACTGTGGACATCACCACTTCCCACTCCAGATTTTTCCTGTGAGCTGTCTTTGGAGGCTGAGGCCATGGAGAGTCTCCACAATTTTCAGGGCTCAACCCCAACTCACCCACATCCAAACCACGTTGATTCCTCTACCTTTGGGTCCAGAGATGGTGACATCAGTGAAAAGAAAAAGTTTCTGGAATTCCTCCCATGCACATTACACGCGGTAAAGACAGCCTTCCCTCTACTCTGGGAGACCCCCAGCATCCCGAAACAGCTGCACCCCTCCTGCTCCAATGTCCAGGAAAAGACAGCGGGGGTGATGAGGTTGGGGAACATCAAAAGGCCAAGCAAGGCCAGTATAGATCTTCTTGGCAGTGGCCAGGTCAGAGAAAACACGTATGACTCCAGGCCCAGCAACGGCATGTCCACACTGATGTAGCCACCCTTAGCAGCACCCTGGTTCTCCCTGACCCCCGTCCAAACCCATCCTGGCAGCAGTGTAAGGCTGCGTTGCGCCTCCCTGAGCCGGACCTGGAGAGGGGTGAGATAATAATCAAGGCCGAATGATTTTCAGAGCTCCGCCACCCGGCAGGCGCCCTCCAGCGCATTCCCGGGACCAAGCTCAAAGCCTGGCACTGCGCGCCAGAGGGCGCTCCAGGTCCAGATTGGCTTGGTGTAGCGGAGCTCGAGCTGGATAGGAGTAAACTCCACCCCACTCCGTGTCCGAGCCAAGGCTGTCTCCGCGCGCAGGGGAGGGTAAATCCAGGCATTGGCCGGTACCTCGACCATCGCCAAGTGGCAGGAAAGAGCTTGCAGGGCGCGGTGCTGAAGCCGGCGACGGGATGGGCAGGAGTGTCTCCTCCACGAAAGCGAGACCTGTATCAGCAGAGGGCTCCAATTGCAACTGGCCCTCCAGGGCCAAACTCACCGATGCTTATCACCCAACCCTTCCTGCCATTCCCAAGGGGTGGAGATCCAGCTGCAAGCTGGCCACCCACATTAGCTGATGGAAGTTTAACCGTACTTCTCGGGAGGGCGAGGTTACTAACTAGGGCCTGAGCCTCTTCCTTGCACCTTCCTTGGTGCCATGATGGGGTGGGCAGAGGGATCTGATCACCCAACCTGAGCTACATGTTCCAGTTATCAGAGGTGGGAGGTTCATAAGGTTGGGCTCTCTGCTGCCTTGCCAAATCTCAGCTTCTTCTTCTTCTTTTTTTTTTTTTAAGATTTTATTTATTTATTTGACAGAGAGAGCACAAGCAGGGAGAGCTGCAGGCAGAGGGAGAGGGAGAAGCAGGCTCTTCACTGAGCAGGGAGCCCGATGTCCGGCTTGGTCCCAGAACCCTGGGACTTGAATTCACGACCCTGAGGTTAAGAGTCACATCCTCTACTGGAATGAGCCAGCCAGGCACCCCTACAACATTTTCATTGTGCATACCATCCTCAGTCCTCGGGGTTAGTTGAACACGCTAAAGGCACTATTAAGATTCAGTTGGCAAAATTTCTCAAGCCCCTCCAAATACCTTGGCCAACAGCATTGCCATTGGTCCTTCTAAATCTCAGATCTACTCCTTGGAACAGGATGTCCGATACAGACACTAAACCAACTGAGCCACGGAAGCGCCCCTCCCCACTCCATTCTAAACAAGGTTTCCTTTTATTAATTTCCACGTTTTCCCCCTTTGATCAAGATCTTTCGTCATACCCTACATCAGAGGGAAAGTGCATAACAGTTGGAAACCACTTAAGGTCACATTTGAGTAATAGGGAAGACTAGGAGGGAGAACTCTCACGTACTTCCCATCTAAACTCCGTATCTTCTCAAGGTCGTAGGTGTCAGAGGTCATCTTGAAGCACTGAGCCAGCATCCCCTTATTGGGTACATTGTTTTTTGGTTTTTGGGTTTTTTTACAGTGTGACTGGCAACAAAATACAAAACTTAAAACAATTATACATAACAAAAGAGGTAACATAACAGTTCCAAATGGAATTATGGTTCTGAACCAGGACTCTAGGTCTGAAAGTAACTGGCACTTACTGAGACTGAGGGGGACAGGTCCATCCTGCAAGAGCAGACCTGGCAACCCGTATGCCTCCTACGGTCTCCGCTTAAAGCAACCGGAGAGCAGTGACTAGCAAACGTGCAGGAACGCGCTGAAAGAATGAACCCAGTGCGTTTGGGAAGATTCAGGGCAGTTATAAACATAGAGCAACAGCTAACGAACTTTTTGCAAAACAGCACAATTTCAAAGACGATTTAAAACACTAATGTTGGGCGCCTGGGTGGCTCAGTTGGTTAAGCGACTGCCTTCGGCTCGGGTCATGATCCCGGAGTCCCGGGATCGAGTCCCGCATCGGGCTCCCTGCTCGGCAAGGAGCCTGCTTCTCCCTCTGACCCTCCCCCCTCTCATGTACTCTCTCTCTCTCATTCTCGCTCTCTCAAATAAATAAATAAATCTTAAAAAAAATAAAACACTAATGTTATCTCAAAATAACTGTTTAGAACCAAACAGGTTTTCAGTAATACAGTTTGTAAAGGTGTAAATTCAGAAACCATGAATGTGAATAAGAATCCAGAGTCAGATAATAATAGTTCAGATGAAAGAAGACTTTCATGAATTCGGAACCTTCTAACCCTTCAGAAAAAGCAAGTGAAAAATTCCTTTGTCACAGGATCATGGTGAGACTGTGTCCGAAAGGCCATAGTCACAGAAGAGGTTACCCCTTTTCATAAGAGTTTGGGAA